GGAAAGAGTCTAAGCAGACAGAGACCATAATGAAACCAACTGACTGGGGCAGGTTTGGAGGGATAACACGGTCAGATCAAGATGGGGCTTTAGAAGTAGGCAGTTTGGGGATTGAAGGTGATGTCCTTTCTCACATATTCCTGATCCTAGAGGAGTGGGATAGGGAGTGTGGGAGGGAGACGCAAGAGGGAGGGTATATGGGGATATATGTATACATATAGTTGATTCACTTTGTTATACAGCAGCAACTAACACAACAATGTAAAGCAATTATACTCTAATAAAGATGTTAATAAAAAAGATCATTGCTCTCTATCCAGCTGCTACTATTAAAAACCAAACTGATGAGTATCTCTCTAGCTGGGAGGCTGGGCAGGAGGTTGTCAGGTTTACCAAATACTAAGGATGAAAATGGCTGCTTGGAGCTGGCTGAAGGAGCCTGTAAAACAACCCATTGAGAATTATTTTTACTTTAAAAGGACTAAGTTTATAGCCCCACAGAAAGTGCCTGTGTGGTTTCCAGGGCAACCCCAATGCCTTATAAATTTCTCAGTATAAAACTTCAATATAAAAATTTCTCAATCATATTCCCCTTTGTGCCATAACCCAGGGCTGAAACATGCCTGGGTGCTGATGTCCCGGGTGGTCATTCAAGGCTCTGAACACATCCTCTACTTCTGTCTCCCCTTTGCTCTGGCCATCTTATCTAGTCTCAGGATTTTGGCAATCATCTTTAAGCAGATGACTTCCTAATCTACTTCTCCATCCGTGTGTCAAGAATTTCTGGTCCCACATTTTTCACTTTTGCTCAGTACCTCCATGTGGATAAATTGCAGGTACCTCAAACTCTTTATGTCTAAAACTGAACTCCTAATCTTTTTTACAAGCCCTATGCTTCTCCTATAATCAAAAAGACTACTCTCCTTTCAGACACTTCTCTTGAAACCTTGCATCATCTTTGTGCCTCTTTCTTTCTTAACTCTCATATCTAATGAGTTAGCAAGTCCAGCCAATATCTTTGGACTCCAAGCCTCTTTTCTATTCCCAATTCCACTGCTTTAGTTCTGGTCCTCCTTCCCCTTTCTCCTGCATCAGCTTTCCAACCCAACAGTGCCCCTTGCTACCATCCTCACTCTACTCTTTCTTACCTACTGCTGCCAGAATCGTCATCCCAATATTCAGCTTCAACTTTATCGTTGTCATCCTTAAAGCCTGTGTTGACTCCTTACACAGTGGAGTCCACATTCTTACACAGTGGAGTCCTGATTCTTCAGCATAGCATTCATAGTCAGGGCTCAGCCTTATTTACTCTTTCCATGTCCTATGCCCTACCTCAGTGGTTTTTCAACCTTTTTAATTATTGTCCCCCAAAGTGTCTTTTAAGGGTTTTAATTTTTTCTTAATTGTCCCTCTCATGAAATTTTAATGCCATAGGTATACTGTCTGTTTATACACTGGGTGTATATCTGTACTTTCCATTTAAAAAGTAAGATGTTTTTACCCTCCAAGAACCAATTTTTGCTCCACCAGGGGCAATATTGCCCCTATTTAGAATTCATACTCTAGCCAAAACACATCTTTTACCAATCCCTGAATATGTCCCTGTATTTCCTAGCTTCCAAGTTTTAACTCACTTTGGCCGTTAGCCAGAGGAGTAGAGGGATTATGAGAAGATTCCTGGAGTGTACTTCTGCTACTCAGTGCACTGTTCCCCTTGCCTAGAATAGACTCACACATCTCCTCCCACTACCCTCCATTTCTTCCTATTGAAATATGACTCTTCATGTTGCAACCCAAGTACCATTTCCTCCCCCTGAAGCACTCAGCTGGAACTAACTTCTTCCTTCTGTGCTTTAATAGAACTTACTTTATACATCCATTATGTTCTTCTTTGTTATGTAGTCATTTTTCTATTTGTGTTATCTCCTTCACTGTACTATAAACTTCCTAAAGACAAGGACTATCTTCTTCACAGTGTATAGTGCTTTCATATAGTAGGTACCATTATATGTTATTTGAAATCAATTCACTGCTACACCAGGAACAAAATAAGAGCCTACCTGTGCATACATTTAAAAAGTTCCCTATGTATGCTGAATAAATGAACACACTAAAGAGTAGAAAAAATGGACATCATAAACAAGACACATTCCTAAACCGTCATTAACACAGAAATTATTTATAAAGAAGTTCTGTGTGTTGTACAACATTGGTGAACTGAATTAATTCCTGCTTCATAGAAATAACAGATGCCCACAGAAGTTAGTTAAAGCCTACCTGCCTAGACATGTCTTAAATAAGTATGATCAAGGTGAGTAGAGGATCCAAATGCCAAAACATAATAGCCATTTTTGACAAATGTTTTTGTTGCAGATACAAAATCTTTATTGTGCTTCTTCATTATGAAAAGAGATGATACATATGGAAGCACATTTTAACTGTTAGTAACCATCACCACTACATACTATATGACCAAATTAAGGCTATGGGACAATAAAGTTGATCTGATGAAGCTATTTTTGTATGCAAGGTGAAGCCAAAGGAAGCAAAACGCTTTCTGAAAAAGGCTGGATAATTTTTTTTTCAATCCTATCAATCTTTTAATGCATTTAAGTGCTGAGGAATCGTTCAGTGGAAATGGACAGAGTTCTGTTATAACAGTGTTACTCAATTTTTTTTTTGGATGACCACAACAAAAGCAACGATTGCAATTACCAAACACGAAACACACTCATACTACGTCATAATATTGATATTCAGTCCAGTAATCCTCCACTGTAACAGCTCCTTTACTTTGCAGTGAAAATTGATTTGTATATTTTTTGCCTCTGAGTCCTTGTGGGATTTTTTTTTTAATTCAAACAGAAAGTCACAAAAATTATAATCATGTTCATCAGTTCACTCAGTCCCATGTAATTAATATTTTTTATCTTGATCTTTGGTTAGCACTTTATGAATTCATCAGTTTTCTATTAGAGTTCTGAAAATGCTTATTCATTCAGTTCAGCAGTATAGTCAGTTACCAGAAACCTGTACTTGTCAGAGTCTTTTCCATGAATTCCTTGAGGATAGAAACCCTTTTATAGGAACATTTTTGCAAAAGCATCAGAGTATACCCAGAACTGTCTGTAAATGACAAAAGACTTAAAAATGACCATGGTTAAAGATTTGATGAAAGTTCATAATAATGCAATTGACAAGGAAATTTAGTTATTTCTGAGTTATACATTTTAAAGTATGGATAATTTTTTAAAGGTATGTTTATAAATATATTTAGAAATTTCCATCATATCTTGGAATAGTACTTTCTAGGGAAAGCTATTTCTGTGGTTTCATAGAATTACATTCTATCTTAGAGGATTAGGTGTTTTAAAGTGGCACTTTTTTTTTTAATTTTTAAAATTTATTTATTTATTTTTGGCTGTGTTGGGTCTTCGTTGCTGGGCACGGGCTTTCTCTAGTTGCAGCGAGCGGGGGCTACTCTCCATTGTGGTGCACGGGCTTCCCATTGCGGTGGCTTCTCTTTTTGTGGAGCACGGGCTCTAGGCATGCGGGCTTCCGTAGTTGTGGCACGTGGGCTAAGTGGCTGTGGCTCGCGGGCTCTAGATCTCAGGCTCAGTAGTTGTGGTGCACAGGCTCAGTCGCTCCGCGGCATGTGGGATCTTCCCGGACCAGGGCTCGAACCCGTGTCCCCTGCATTGGCAGGCGGACTCCCAACCACTGCACCACCAAGGAAGCCCCTAAAGTGGCACTTTTATTACTTCCCTGAAACAGTTTATTAAGAAGATTATCAAATCTTATAGAAAACTACAAACAGGTGCTTTTTACCATCCTTTGCTCATGTCTTCTGTTAAAATACCATAAACGGCTTTGTGTGTGTTTGATTCTTCTAAAGTCAGAGAATGACTTCTGTGGACAATGAGTTGGGGGTATCTGAGGGATGGGAGACTCGGCAAATAATTTATTTCCAAGGATACACTAAATTCAGCCTTGGGGCCTGGTCCGCCTAAAGCCAGCTGTATAGTAAATTCAATCCTTCCGGGTCTTTCTAATAGGCTAACCCTTTTGCCAGTTCCAAAGCTCCTAAGCGCAATTCTATTTCCTATAAGCTCTTCTTTGGAAAGAAGGATTAGTCGTGAAACTGTCTCCTTTTCACTCCTGCTAGTCAAGTTCAAGTTTTGTGGGCAAACAACAGCCAAAATAAATACGCTAGAGCCAATACTGAAGCCTCTGCCTCACGGGCAAAGCAAAATTACGTAGGATCCTCTAACAAGTCTGATAGGGGGTGGGGGAGGGAAGGGAGGAGCGTGGAAGGGGCCGCCCCTTTGGAATGGGATTGGTTCCCTCTCTCCCTTCAGCCGTTCATTTTGCATCTCGGTTGGATAGGCTGAGAGAAATATGTCATTGAGTGTTTTCAAAATGAGCCCTGTAGGTGTGGGCTGTTCCCTAGGTTTGTGGTTTTAGATTTTCAAACGGGCGGACTTATCATTGGCTATAGGATCAAGTTCCTGAAACTGGTCTTCTATAGCTTGAAAAATGTCATTGTAACAGGAAGCGCCAAAGAGCTTAAGTGTAATTCACACACAGTAGAGGATATGACGAAAGTTCCTCAGGGGTTTGATTTCAGTTTCCTAAATGAAGAAGAAGCCAGGAAGATCCTTCAGGTGCTGGAAAGAAATGAGGAGCTCCAGAGGGCAGAGAAGGACAGGATCAGGTACAGAGCTAATTCCTTTTTCCCCTGGGTCTGGGCCACAGTGGGGGGCGTCCGCGGCGTCCCCCGAGCTCGGCGTGAGTGGAGGAAGGGGCCGAGCTTTTGTGGGGCACCTGTCCGAGGCTCGGGGACGCTCAGCATCCATCCGGAGCGCGCGGCCCGGCAGGGGGAAATCTGCAGTGAGTCTCTCTTGAGAACGTTGGGAGGCGCTGCTGGTGCAGACACGGCCTTCCGGGCAGGCTCGTCTGCGAGCTCAGGTACTGCAGCGTAGGGCGCGCCTCTGCCCTCGCCGCGCGGGAGCGTGCCTTGGCGCGTTTCTTCTCAGAGTGGAGCCTGCGCGGCGGTTCCGTCCCCAGACGGGGGCACGTGGGCGGCAATCGCCGCAGGGGGTCCAGGCTGGGTGGCGGGTCTCTCAGGTGTCTCCTAGGCTGCCACGTGGCGCGGGCCAGGTGGGCCCATGAAACGGGGTGGGGAGCGCAGTCCTGCCCGCGCGCATCCACGTGCTTACAGAGGCCTCCGGGTCGTCCACTCTCGCCCAACACACTCTTCCTCTGCCCCAGAGAAACCTCCCTCTCCACCCGACGCGGGCAGTCAGCGAGGCCCGGGAGAGCTGGCACCTCACTGGAGGCCAAGTGTTTCCCACCCCAAGGGCTGGAGTTCGAGGAACTTGCCAAATTGTGTGGAGTGAGCCCAGCTGGGACTGGGCCGCGTGGGGTGTCTAGAATGGTTCGATCCCCTTGCGTGTGGCGCTTGGGGAAGAAGTTGCTGCGGAATTTCCCCCTTGACCTTACTGTACAGTGTTGTAGGTGAGGGATTAGTTACCAGGAAATGAAATCCAGAGATCATTGCCTGAGATGTAAAGTAACCAGTTTTTCTGCTGGGGAAGTGTGGGATAAGTCCTGGAATGAATTAAAGACTTTCTCACCAATCCTGGAATAAACCCACCCAAGGCCTTCTCCAGTGGACTGTGGAAGAAAATTTAGGGCATCACTCTCAGACCAGAAAGTGTGGCATTGATGGAATTTAGAAAGCCATTTTGTTTGTGAACAACTTCTTGGTGATCTAAGTTCTATGTTTCCACTTCCTTCCAGGCATCCCACTTACCGCCCACCCCCCAATCCCCCAGGGAAAAAACCTCTAAAGATACTCTTCACATAGGGAAACCCTAGCTGGTTTTGTAGAAGCGATTAAAACGCACTGGGCCCAAAGCCCTGTCTTCTCTCCCCACCCCCCGCCCCCCAGATATGACTCTTGTGGGGAGAAATGAATATTTGAAGTTTGAGGATGTGTATTTCACACCATCATACTCTGCCTTTAGAAAAATAGGCTCCATCATTTCTTCAAACTATGCAGAAATGTGCCCTCATGAGCACAGTATGTCCACACCCACATACACCCAGGAGCATGTGCCCACACGTATGCACGTGCAGTGTACACAGGCACACCCAATGTTGGGAAGGAGAGCTTTAGAATTGCATGCTTGCCTTGTGTTTTCTCTATAGCAGCTCATGGTGCCCATGGCAGCTGACTTTAGGGGGAACTACACTTAGATGGCAAAGGCCATTGAGCTAGGCCTTAGAAGGAAGGCTAAAACACATTTTCTGATTTCATGGCATCAGCAAAAAAAGCCATAATGCTAAGACAAAAATCAATACTGTTATATGATAGGAATATTGGCATTATCAGAGAGGAAATTTAAAATAATTAAGATTATTTACTCAGGCACAGCATTTTTTTCTGCTTTTTTTTTAAAAAAAATCTGTTTAATAAAGGTCTGAAGCAGAAAAATAATCAATACTGTTAACTATTAAACAAACTTTGAAAAATAATTACCCCAGCAATTTTTTAAATGTCACCACTAAAGTATACAAATAATTTAAGGAAAGCAGACACTTGAGCCAAATGCTCAAGGCAATTATTTCTAGTACTTTATTTTCCCCTGGTTGATTCCTGTGTCTCACTATCAAATACCTGTCCCTGGATAGCAGTCTCCATGGGATTGCTCTGCTCACCAGCTCACATGCATTGGTTTTAGAAGCAGATACTGGCATGCAGAAAAGGCCTGAAATGACATGCCAACTTAGCTCTTCTGTTCATTTTTGATCATCGTATTTTCCTAATCAAGTCAAGACACGTGACTTATAAATCAAGAGTATTATTTGAGAAAAAATACAACAGTGCTAAGAGACTCTCAGAGGTCTTTTTACTATACTGAGAAACAGTCTTCAGATCTCTTAATTAGGACAAAAAGGGAAGGCACTGGCCTCCCTGGTGGTGCAGTGGTTGAGAGTCCACCTGCCAATGCAAGGGACATGGGTTCGTGCCCCGGTCTGGGAAGATCCCACATGCCGCGGCGCGGCTAGGCCCGTGAGCTATGGCCGCTGAGCCTGAGCCTCCGGAGCCTGTGCTCCACAGCGGGAGAGGCCACAACAGTGAGAGGCCCGTGTACCAAAAAAAAAAAAAAGGGAAGGGACTAAATGCAGAAGCTTGGAAGGTTTGCTGGTTAGGGCCTATCTATGATAGGCTTGAGCTATCTACAAGACAACTAAGAAGAAGAAGTATCCTACAGTTAGAAATATAGAACTACAGCATCATGCAAGGCCAGAGATGTCCAGAGGTAGATGTTAACGGCACAGAACTAGTTGAGTTCACCATGCAGGAGACCATAGCCCCAACCTGTAGAAATGAGCTTCCCCCGATCTTTCTTCATCAGTACCAGAACTCTCTGGCTCCAGCTTACTGGGAAAGTATTCACATTAAATATTATAATGTTTTCCAATATATGAAGAGTTTATTCAGATTTTTAAGAAAAACACCAAGATTCAAACTGATGAATAAGCAAAGATAGAAAGAAATCATTCACACTAGAAGATATCCAAACAGTAAACAAAACATGGGAAAATGTTCACCCTAACAGTAATAAAAGAAAAAGAAAGAAAGAAAATCGAAGTAACCTCAAGATATCATACTGCGCCTTTAAAAATAACTAAAAAGACTTGGTGAGGGTTGAAGTGAAATGGATAGATTCTGCATATCATTAGTGGCATTGTAAGTTGAGTATCATCCTTTTGGTGAACAATACTGCAACACCTGTGAAGATATGACTTGCCCTTGACTCAGTTATCCAATTCTTGAATGTTACTCATTAGTAGGAGATTGAGGTGGAGAAAATGACCACACCAACATTTATTAAGTGCTGCCTTTTTAAGTAATAATAGTAATTACTGTGATAATAATAATTGCTAACATTTATTGTTCCTTACTGTATACTAGGCACTGTATTAAACATGTTGTATATTTTTAATTAATCCTCTCAATAACCTCGTTAGGTACACACTTTAATTTCCATTCCACAGAGAAGGAAACAGCTTAAAAATGTTGAGTATCTTGTTCAAGTTAAGCAGCAGAGCTAGAATTCAAATCCAGATCCATCTCAAAATTATTTTACCCATCAGCATTGACTAATCCTCACAACCATCCCTTGGGGTGAGTATTATTAATGACTTTGTACAGAAGAGAAACTGAAATTTAGCAAGGTTAAGGAACTTGCCCAAGGTCACACAGCTCGTAAGTGGCAGAACTAGAATTTGAACCCAAATCTATCTGGCTCTAAAAACCTGTATTCTTTCCACTATACCATATTTTTCCCTGAGGAAACAATTTAGTAGAGGAAAAACAAGACATATACTCTCAGATATTGCAGTGTTACCTATAATAGCAAAATAGTGGAAAATTTCAAATCTAAGTAAAAGTGAAGTCCTTACAAAGGACAATTATGAAGACATCATTATGTCCCATCCAATATGATATTTTAGTTCTATATTTCTGACTACCTTGGTTTTGTAGACACCTCAAGCTTGTCATGGATGCAGCTGTGGAAAACTGTGTACAAGGCACTGTTCTGTGAAAAAGCAGAACACAAAATAGTGCTTATGTTATTATTTCAGTTTCTTCTGGACATCTGGGCATGTGCATAGCAACTAGAAGAAAATAGCAAAAATCTGTGCTTCTCCTTTCCGTGAATCTCTAGGGCCTGCTGCAGCTCCTGGCCCATGGTGAACAGTCAGTAAATGTTTGCTAAAAGCCATGGGCTTGCCCTGACAGCTGGGGGCTGGGCTCTCCTGCCCTCAAACCCAACGCTGCCAAGATGGGAAATCAGACCTGGGGGTAAGGATGCTTGGTAGTCTGGGCAGGAA